GAAATTGAGTACACGAATAAGTACACAAATGAAATACAAAAACATGTAAATGAATAATTTTACACACATTTATGCGACACACACACACTTACATGTACATATATACTTATACCAAATTATATTGCTTCCGCCCATGAGCAAAGAATCCAACCTAACCTGACTACTATAAATATCATAATCAGTTTTTCATTGCTTTTCACAAAAAATGTTCATGATCAATTATCAATAGTATATAAATTTTAAAGTCCATGATGAAATATGCAGAAGTTTTATGAAATTAATAAGACATTATATAATTTAAGTGTAGGTATTCAACATAATTCTATTAATCGTGTTATTATTTTTACTTATTAATGTATTAAATTTAAATATTTTTACAAGAAAAACTACAGATTATAATCAATCAATTATTATTATGATATTATGAAATATCAAATTGTATTTATTTAATTAATATAAAATCGTGCGTATTAATATACATAAAACACTCAACATTTATCGATGTAGTACAGAGGCGTGAAGTTTTTATTTCCAAGTGTTACTGCTTAGCTAAACATAATATTGAAGACATTGGAAAGCGGAGTTATACAGATTTACACATACAGAATAACAATAGGTTCTGATTATGTCAGTTATAATAATTTGTTAAAATAACGTTTATTTTAAAAGTAGTTTAAGATTGATAGTTGGAATTATGCAAATTAGATATAATTGATATTTTATCACATAACTTTTTTTTGATTTATTAAACATAGGAATTGACGTTACTGCATTGGTATCTGATATTCATTTCCTTTATAAAATACAATATACAATATACTTTTTAAGTATTGATATAATTTTAATTTTACGGATAACTTTTATAGTTTGGAATTTTTTTTTACTATAAAATATTGTATAGTCATCCATATTTTATACTTGGCTATTTAGGTACCTATCTACTCCTTGTAAATACAAGGTATTATTTTAATAAATATGTAAATATATTTAATAAATGTGAGTAAAAGTACTTATTTTAGAAGGAATTGATTTAATTATTTCATATCTATTTAGGTAAATAAACTTCTATATATCTACGTTCTCTTAAAGTTTCAACTTTTAATAACACGCTTGGGTTTAATTTTTAGCCATTTATATTATGTTAAAATTATTATAATTGTCATCAAATATCATAAAATAGGCAATAAATGTAAATAAATTTTGCTATTATTTGATTCAGAATTATTATTGTAATACCTACTTTATTTAATCATACAAAAATAATTAAAATATATTCTAGTTACATTGTATGTACACAAGTACATTGTACACCTATGGTTTTAAATGGTAATTTTATTTTGTTGTTATCGCATTGCTGTTGAAGATGACGCAATATCTGCTAGGTTCTTGCCTCATTTAAAAAATAGCGAGGCGATGCCTATACAACATTACAACGTTCCATACAACTACATTACATACTTATTATAAATTAAATTATAATATCACAGTCATATTCAAATTATCTTTACCAGTTACTAGAATGGAATTTGGGAACACCGATTAGATAATTTCGTTTTCTCCATTATAATTTATATTGTTTATAAGAATATAGAACACATTTCAGTTAACATATTATACTTGTAGTTGAATTATCATTTATTATTATTACAGTAAAACATAATTATTTTGTTATAGTATTGTGGTACCAAAATATAGTTAAAAAATACATTTATAACACCATCATTTGGTTATTTTGTATACAAATACAATCAACAGAAAAAACACTAAAAACTCTTTGATAATCCTCGCAACAGATTAAGACTAAACAAAACAAGTAAAAATCTCATCACAGAATAGATAAAATATTATCTATTCATTGGTATTGTTATTGAATGAAGTATTTAGATAAAATTAATTCAATCTTTTTGATAGGTATTAATAATTGTTTAAAGCGATTTGATGTTATCCATCTTTTATTCTTGATCTCTATACAATTCAACAATCCAAATTTTTGGCTCACGTTAAAAAATAATTTTATTCTTTAAAATTATTAAATTTATAATTACTTATCAAAAAAAAAAAAAAAACGTCAAGGAAATTAGTTGTACGTCATGTAATACAATACTCGCCAAAGATTTTTTATACATTACACAGAAAAACAAAATATATTAACGCTGAAACAACTGAGAAGTTACCTAATTTTAAGACCAAATTTGGTGTGTGAAAATGCAAGCAATTTTTTTCATAAAATTAAGTGACTAATTTATAGATTTTCAGTTAATTGAGAAATTTATTAGTTTTACCAGGTGTATGCTTTTTATTTATTTTATTGTCTATCACACGATTTCAACTAAAAGTATTATTCCGACTTTCAAAAAAGAAGGAAGTATTACTAAAGATAAAATTTTAATTGAAGGTAAATTAGGGAAGTAATTTTGAAAAGTATTTTGAATTTTTTAGCATTTTTTTGAATAATCGAAAAAAAAAATCACGAACAATTTCAAGATAGATACTGAATTTATTGAAATTATTTACTATTTATACAAATTTCGAATAAACTATATAATTTATTTTGTTTACTTAAAATACTAACTGTAGGGACTTGAAACATAAAAAGTGCAATCATATTGGCATTGTATAATATTATAATAATAATTTTAATTGTAATATTAAATTAATTAAATCTAAGTCCAAAGGTATAAATATATTTGATTTTTTTTTGGTAAAAATTGATTTAACCAATTTGATTTCAAAACTATTAAGTATTTATACTCAGTGGTGTATTTTCGGTGGGGAGGGGGATCTCCGCGTCTCAACCTCTTCCAAAAAAAAAAAAAAGTTCAAGAATCATGAATGACTTGCTACGAAGATACAAAGAGAACATTAATTTATATAATGTGGTTGTAAATAATTCTTCATTTGTATTTTTAATAATAATAGAAAAATATAATTATTAATTCATACCTTATATGTATTTTTTATTATATTATAAAATAAACTATTTTATAGAAAAAATTAAAGTCCCCACTCATAAAAAATTTGAAAATACCTTATTGTTTATACAAATATATTATTGTTAACTATCTTTGACATAAAGGCTGATTCATCCGTTGCATCCTCCTGACACTGATTCCAAGTATATAAGAATAATTTCCCTATATCAGTCACCTGTTTTCATACCTCATCTATTTTATTTTTAATTTTGTTCATTAAATATAAATAAGATGTAAGTGGTTTTAAATAATTAAAAATGTAACAATCATCACGTTCCTACATTTTTAAGTTACATTATTGTTAAACACTTATAATTAAAACTATATGAACTAAAAACTTCGATTTGTGGTTATTAAATAAATTAGATACTAGAAAGACTAAAAATGTTTATAAAAGATGCGGGAACCACAGATTTCATCCAGATGACAAATGGAACTGTATTGAAAAAACAGACATTTTCATTGAATATCACTGATTTTTTTTTTACATTTAAAATTAAATACTTTGAATAGTTTTTCTAAATCAAGTAATTTAAATATCAGGTGGTGATATAAAACTTGATTTTGTTTACTCTACACAGTGTTCTTATCAAAACGAAAAAAACCGTGAGTTTTAGTAAACGTGACTTTCATTTAAATACTTAAAACACAGTTGGCAATTTGTATTTGTAGGTATACATGTATATGATATTATGTACCTCAGTAAAACGGTTATTTCTAAACATGTGACATGTATAAAAGAATCAGTAACATTAAAACTGCACATTGAACTAACAGTAGGGAATGCAGTGTAAAATCTACTATGTTCAAGGAAATTACATGAAGGATATAGGGTCGTCGTATAGGGCATATATTCGTGTAAAATTGCTGTAACAAATAATAACAACAATGACGACGATAGATGGGTGGAACTTCCACCTTTTAGTATCTTCCGAAAGCGATTCTTCCGCGGCCAAGGTGATCTCGATTGGAGAGAGTCAGTCGATTTGGATATGTTTTACGCACGTAGGTAGGTATCGCGGTACACATCACATAAATTTACGCGCTTACGATAATGTGTATTAACTGCGTAGTAGGCTTTCCGTGTCGACACCCGGGAGGGTTTTCCGGTCATGGTAAGGTGGGGTAGGTAGGTGGGTGGTACGTGTGCGTATATATCTTTACCTATACGCGTGTAAACACTACACACACACACACACACACACACACACACAAGTAGGTCGGTCAATGATCGCGGTGAAGGGACCGGCGATAGGATGGATATTGGTGGGGAGGTGATACCCTTTAAAAACCACAAACATGGGCGTATGCGCGCGCGCCGTGCGGACGTACGGTCACGAGGCGGTTTCGTGTGTTGGTGACGGTACGGGGTTAGGGGAGGACGCGAGGTAGACGGAAAAAAATCGATAGTTCCGTCGTGGTCTCCACAACCCACTGTGGATGTATTTGCACACACACACGTACTCGGACACGAGGAATAACGCAGAGAGCCGCCCACCCTCGTGCACGCGCTGAATGAAGCGTCTGGCCCACCGATGTGCCAACCTAGTTTTACATGTATATAGTCAGCGTTATCGATTTTACGAGGGCGTCAAAACAACGCAACGTGATTCCAACGTGGAATTGTACCCCACAACCGTCGCGCGTTTACGCGCGTACGTATAAGTATACGATTGCCATTGCCCCGCCCCGCACCCTGTCCTTCATTTACAAACGTAATCGACATAATGGTGTGACAATATTATAAAAAATAATTACTCCGTTACAATACGCGTAGTGGTAAGATGCGTACAAAGTACGAGAGCGTATCAGCATGCTTTACTACGCGGTATTATCCTCCTTCACACAGACACATATTCGTGTACATATTATACTGTATATATATACATATTTTTTTTTTATATGGTAGTTTATTAATACATAATTGTCACGGCGGTCAAAGTGCGTGCGAGGAAACGGAAAAACGAAGAAATAATTTAATATTATCAGACCTTTATTATTGTTATTGTTATTGTTGTACGGCGATTGTTATACGAGGTAAAGGTTATTGGATTTACGGAGGGAGATAAACAATAAACAAATTATTGAGTAAAAAAATAAAAATCAACAAAACATTGGTGTGCCACTATAGCGTGTACGTAGACATTATTATAAATAAAATATCGCGTGCGCAGCGTACTACACGTAATAATATTATAAATATTATTGTTGGCGTATCGCGCTCGTGCGAGAACGCGGGGTAACAGCGTTAAAACGATATTATTTACTTGGTAATATTTTTTTTATTTATTTCTCATATTTTAGTGAAAGAGAGAAAGATACATGTACGCCGCAGTCCAACTCTGTACGGGAGTGAAAAATATACAACGCTATGGGAAAAATGTTGTTTTTGTTGTAATGTTGTTGTTGTTTGTACGGTTCAACGGTCAACATGACCCGTACGGCGCGAAGGCGGGGATGCCGGCGCATGCGCACTACTTGTTTACATCTATAGGAATACGCGCTGATTAATCGTCACACAGACACGCGCATATACGCACACACAAAATAATAACACAGTGGTGGCGCTTACGTATCCACATGACTTTTCCGCGAAAAATGTTTTCCATTAACAACAACAATAATAACGAAACGGTTAATTCAGTGACATTAACTACGTTGTCGTCGTTGTCGTTGTCGTCGCCACCGCCGTCGTCGTTGTCGTCCGCGGTGTGTTTTTCGCGCGGTGTTATTGTTGTTCCGCAGTGGTCAGTAGCCGCCGAAAGGGTTTTTGCCGATTTCCAACGTGCCCCGTGCGCCGCAGCATGTTCCGTCGTATCGTCGTCGTAAACGTTGCCGTCACCGACGTCGTTGTTCCGCCCGCAGTGTTTACCGTTGCCGTTGAACGACTACTACTGTCCGTGTCCGCGTGCACCATTCTCCAACCGGAGAAATAATAATAATAATCATAATCGCAAAAATAAACTACAATAATATTGCTGTTGTTATTATCATCGGCTCACACGCGGTGGGCGCCGCGAGTGTTGTTTTTTTAATTTAATTATTTTTATAATCGCGTTGTTCGCGTTGTTTGATCGTTCGATCGTTACACGACGTTGCTGTTTTCGCTGTTCGTGCAGAGTCAACGATTCCTCCGACGCCCCTTGTCCGTCGCACACGCCCTTCGAGTGCACCCTGCACACGGGTACTTTGCAACATCGTGACACACGGTACAGTATTTCTGAATACGTATGATATAATATTATAATAACAATAATAATAGTAATAATAATAATCATAGTAATAATAATATATTACCGTAGTGGTTGTTACAATTTTTTTTTTTTATATAATGTACCTATGCCATCGCTATGCGCGATAATTGATACGAATTATTTTATTATTTATATTAAATATTATACGCGCAACTTGCACATGGAGATAGTTGCGATGTAGGCTCTAGTCAATTCATGGTTCAAAAACGAAACCCCGAGTTTACACGCTGCGCGCGCGCGTGTGTACGCGAAATGAAATACCAGACAAGTATGTATGTTACTTATTGCGTGCTATTTTATTGTGAGCAATTGTGTAGAGGAAAAAAAACGGATGGATAATAACGTAAACAGTGCATGCCCTTGACATAACTGTCCGTTCTTGAATGGATACCTAACATAGGTATCTACTCAATGTTACAGACTAGGTTATATTATTATTATTATTATTATTATTGTTGTTATTGTTGTGCTATTGTCTTATATTATTGTTGTTATTGTGCTTGAGGTGCACAGTGATGCACTTGTCTTGTCATTATTGCTACGCCGGGATTTTGTATGTCAACTTAAAATCCGGTATCTACATTATGTTTTTCATTAATTTGGTCCCCGTGATTGTGATATTATGATACATATGGGAGTCATTGTCACGATTGTATTACTTTGTGATGGGTAGTGTTAATGTTTTAGATAAAGGTAAAATATTATCCATAGCTAATTATCATATTGTGTGTTGTAAACGGGTAATCAATAATAATGCTGAGTAAATCAATGATAACGATTTTGTTAAATTTCTGATTGCATGGACATTTTAAAATGTATATGCAGTCCTATATTGTGTGATATTTTCATTAAAGAATTCAATTTTGTTTGTTAATATTTGTAGTATAAATAATATTGTATTATCTCAAATGATGTGAATTTGTCAATTTTGACCTCTTTCATGTTTATGAAGTAAATTTAAATTAAAATATTTTTTGTCTTTTCATTTAAACTCTGGCCAATAAAATACATTAGCAATTGTATTGTACTGTATACAAATCTTACATAAATATTGAAGTGTATTAATTGTAAGTTTTTCTATTGCTATATTTGTCTATAACCTTGTCACAGAATTTCAATCAAATTATATTTTTTATTTTTAAATATAATTGAAAATATATCTATTTTATTTAAATAGCAAATTACTGATACATGATTATTCTTTTCTTAAAATTTTCATAGACTTTATGTAGGTTATTAAGTTAAAACTCTGTATTTTAAAAAAATCAAATAAAATCTGATAGCAAACATTTTATTTAGAATTTCCATAAGATTATTAGATGTTTCTTGACGGGGCATTGGTTGATAATAAACCGGTATATTAATATATTTTTTGCTAGAAGAAAATATCTAAAAGTGTTTTTCTTATTAAATAGGATAGTTCATATATGTACCAATTAGGTTTAACAAAGTAGTTTTTGATTTTTATAAACTACCTTATATAAAATTAATTCTTAGGTTAATAAAATAATCAAGATAGTTGTACGATGGTGTATAACGGATTATGTAGGTTAGGGGTTTGTAATACTGTCCTCAGACCATGTTATATCATATTATAATAACCATATGTATATTAAATATAATTTTTATTATAACTTATCAGCATTTTAATTTTATGTTCATCATACACCAGGAAAATAAATGAACCATTTTACCTATAACAGTCAGATTTGATACAGTGTGTACATACATACATACATACATACATAGAATGTATACAAACTAAAAATGATAACTGACTCTTGACCTCAAGAATAAATTTCATCTGTCTATTATATTTACTAGCCCTAATCGTCAAATTTATAACATCATTGATAATTGGTCTGCGGTGTTTTTAATATTGATTGGTACTATGAATTATGATATAAAATTAAATTCATAGATTCAATTTGAACTTTCAATGTTTAAACTTTTTGCAGAATATATAATACTTATTCTGTAAAACTAAAATGTTTTATATTTAGAGCTTTTCTGATTTTTCATTTAAAAAAATCTTAGTTATGCCATTATTTAGTACTAATAATCTAGTTTTTACTTTGACAAAATAATCAAATAAAAATGTATAACATAGTAGATACTTATAAATTTGTATTTAAATGTATTTACATTTTTAAATTAATTTAATATTTCTCTTCATAAATCTCACCTAAATATTAAATAAAAATGTGTAAATGTACTGAAGATTTAATAGATTTAAATTACACTCATTAATCATTTTATACTAAATAATAAAAGTATAACATTTTTTCTTTTTTAAAAAATATTTTGATAATAATTTACCTATTTTTTTGAGGTCTGTTTTGTTTCATTTATTATTCTACTGTGTACCTATTTAAAATGTGTATTAATATAAATAAATAATTTAGACATTTAATATGATATTAAACTTTAAACGTATATTTAACCATCTGACTATTTACATGAAAAATACTTTGCTTTTAAAAATATTTGAAAATATATTAAAACAACTTAGAGTTAACTAGAAATATTTAATAATACAAATTTATTAAATGAGAATAAAAGAATGTACTGGCTAACTGTAATATAAATAAAATTGAGTGATATTTATTTATGAACATAATAAAAATAGTAATATTGACTGGTTTGTACACAATATCAGTTGAAAAATAATCATTGTTTTTAATGTCTATTTAACCAGTAAAATTCCCATGGTTAATACTTATTGACTATTTATTTTATGATAAGAATTGGATTATCCCAAAATAATAAATACACTTATTTTACTTTTATGTTTTGAACTACCATCATTATATTTTCATTCAACTTGGATGTATTATTAAGATTAAGTTCATTAAAATTTGTGTTATTTAATTTTTTTTTATAATAATTGTTTATTTTTACTACTAAAATAATTAAAATCATTTTATGATGTGTTTCATGGTATATTTTTTAATATTTTATTTACTATTTAATTGATTTTTAATTACATTATATCATTCAAATTTACTGATATTATTAATAGTAATATATTATATTAAATCATTTATTTTTTCAGAAATTATTTAAATTATTTAAAATGAGTATGTTGCATACTGATCCACCCAAACATAGAAACGCCATGGCTGGTGTTGTAAAAATTGGATATTTAAAAAAAAATAAAAGTATGAGAAAAAAGTTTTTTGTACTTAGAGAAGAAACTGCCCATGGTGGACCTGCCCGTCTTGAATATTATGAAAATGAAAAAAAGTGGAGAAACAATGCATCACCGAAAAAATATGTTATAATTTAATTTTTATTAGTATACTTTATAATTTTTAAATTTTTAATTTTTCTTACAGAGTAATTGTATTAAAGACTTGCTTCAATATAGACAAACGTGTAGATTCGCGTACTAAAAAAACTTTGATTTGTTTATACACAAAAGAAAATTACTTTTGTATACTATTTGATAGTGATAAAGAACTTGACGAATGGTTGGATCTTATGTTAGTTTTACAACGTGTTACTAAAGAATTTGGACCGGGTGATTCAATTAAAGAACCTTATGGTACTTTTTTATTAAATTGTTACCATTAATTAGACATTTTAATTCAATTACTCTTTTTTTAGAGCATATATGGCACATTTCTATATTAAAAAAAGAGTTAGGAATGAATGCTAATTTAATGGGTCTGACTGGACTTTGTCTATGTGATAAAAAGGTGACCATTATGAAGTATCCAACTAAATCAAAAAAACAAAAAACAATTGATATAATGGTAAGTATTTAATATTTAATTTGTTTTATTATTAATAATTGAATAACGAAATTATGTATCTATATTTGTTATATTTAGTTGACAAGTATTCGACGTTGTGGCGCTTTAGATACATTCTTTTATATGGAAGTAGGACAAAGTTCTCCATTTGGATCTGGTCATATATGGATGGATACATGGAATTCTGAAGTAGCAAAAAGTATTCATGAAACTATAATGGGTGCATCAAGTAGAACTCATGATCCTAGATTCAGAATGAGATCTTCATCATTTAATGAAGGATCACGTCTTATAAACTGTCCATCAAGACAACGATCTAGTTTTTATGGTATGTTTTTTATACTGAATTAATAGTAATATTTTTTATTATTTAAAAATTAAATTTTAGATGAAAATAATCCTGGACTTCGGTATAAAAATAATAGTCAAAGTTCCTCAACATTAAATAATGGCAATGTTGATTTAGCTCGTACAGGTAATTTTAAAAAGAGTAATTTGAATACCCATTTTTTGAAATATTTTAAGTCTAGTGAATATTAGTTTAATATGAATTAAATAATGGCTTAAGTATTTGTGGATGTAATAGTTTGTATAGTTTTAAAGCCCGATTTTTATTAGTGATCTCGGTTTGGTTCCATCACTATTTGGTCAACATCGGGAGCATGTAATTTTTCTAGTTTGAATGGCTAGAATTTGTTTTTTTTAGGAATATTATCATTAATTAGATTCTTTTATTTTTGTGTTTTTTTTTTTGTTTTTTATTTTTGGTAAAGTAACAAAAAAATAAAATTCATACTGAGTATTATCATTTATTGTGGTTAATCATTGTGAATTATAATTTTATAGTCTAAATGCCATTTTATCAATCATCACTTAAGATAATTTAAGCTCTGTTTAAAATTAAACTTCAGTTAAACTAATAATGTGATTTTATTATCAATTGGTTAAATTTTAACTCGACCTTAACCACAGATTAAGTTAACCTATATATTTTGGTGAGTTAGAGCCATTTTATCAATCATCAGTTAAATAGTAGATTAACTAATCTTTGTTTTAAATTAACTGAAGATTAAAATAATTTCAATTTTATCAATTATTTATTTATCAATCAAATTTAATCGGGGCTTAAGTAAACTGATTTTTATAATCTGAAGATTTACTATTAATAAAAGTAAATTATGGCACTATTATAAATATGTTGTTACCTTCATATTAATAAAAAGTTTGGTTTTAAACAAAAATGTGGTATCATCTATGATAATAAGAACTTAAACTAAGTTTAAGTACTTTGACTGATGAAAATATCTCGGTTAACTTAATCTGTGGTTGAAGTCCAGTTAAAATTTAACCAATTGATAATAAAATCATATTTTTAGCTTAAGTGAAGTTTAAACTTTAAACCGAATTAAAATTATCTTAACTGACGGTTGATAAAATGGCCGTAAAAATTTTACAATTAATAAAATAATAAAGATATAAAATTATGCCATCCTTAGAATAAATCATTAAATAAAAATATTTGTTAGATTCTTTGAGTACTTAATTTGCATATTCTCAATGTTTCACAATCACAGTTATTACAATTTTAAATATATTTAAGTTTTATTCATTATATTTTAATATTTTATTTTGTACATTTTAAATAACAGTAAAATAATTTTTCTTGAAATTTAAAAAAAATATATAATGACTACTTTTCAGGATCAGTTAGACAACGTTGTGATAGTATGCCATTGCGACCACGCACTATAAGTGAAAATATTCCATCAACAACACGGTCATTTAATGGGATTTTATCTCCAAAACAAATCTCCCATAAAGGTTGTAATTGTGTTTCTGCTTCTTCATCAATATCAGCGTAAGTTACATTTGTATATATTATTATACCAAATTGTCTATTTATAATTATTTATTTATTTTAGGTTTAATGATTCTGGCATGAGTACCTGGGAGCCGTCACTTTCAAGATCTACAGATACTACTGATGGAATATCTTCTTTTTATAGTCTTAGTGACCAGCGGTCTGCAATAGTTGAGGAAAAACAAGAAGATTTTGTTTCTTACACCCCATTAGATAGAGGTACTTTTATCATAAAATAAATTTCAATATATTGTTTATAAATATATTTTTTTAATTTTTTTTTTTTTTTATAGAAGAAGACACAATGAGACTAACTAGTGACAGTAGTGTTAATAATAATATTAATTTGATTAACAACAATATTGTTGGTAACAGGTCTAGTTCCTCTTCTCAGGTTAGTTTATTAATAAGATTAGTTTTAATACTTTTTTCTTATTTGTTATATTTTAATAAATGTGAAAAAATTACATTGCTTCTAATTGTATGAATATTATTATAATTTATTTATGACACAAATTTTTATCAATAAGTATCTGAATATTTTTAATAAATATATTAAATATTTTTTTTTAATTTGTCATCGAATTGTTAATTTCAGTTTAATATAGTAACTAATATGTTTTTATAAATATTTTATTTGTATTAATAATTTAAATAAAGTTTTCTAGTATGTCATTAATTTAAATATAATATAAAATAAAATATTTATATTGAACAATATTTCTGATTTTTATATAAATAAAATTGTTGTGTTTATAGACGGGTTCTTGTTGTGACTCAAATAGCCCATATGGCTCACCCATCAATGTTGATGATCATTCATATACTCCATTACATCCTGGTTCGTAAATAATTAATTTTGATTATTTATTTTTTTTTAGATAAATAATATGAATAATTTTTATCTATTAGGTGTATCTGAATCTTCTCCACCTCCTGATGGTTATCTTCCAATGAAACCAGGTTACACTTTTCAAAATTATTACACCTTGATGGAAGGACATAATTCTAAACAAGGTAATTTAAACTTTATATTTAATTTTTGAGTCCAATATTTTAATTAAAAAAATCATTAATAACAATTTATCATAATAACTAATTAGAGTACTTATGAATCAGATCAGTTCACTCTCAGAACACTTACATAATATCAATGCTTTAAATTCATTGCAACATGTATTGCAGATGGGTGGAATTAAATTTTTGCATATGTTATAATACAAAATACTTTCAAAACCATTTTACCTTTAAGCTGTATGTTTATTATTAGGGCTCGGAACTTAATGCACTTAAAAAATACTATATATGCATGCACTTATGCGCTTAAAAAAGTACAAATATGCTCTAAAAATATGCACTTATATTTTATTTTTGTACACAAAATTTTCATTTGCACAAATATTTTATAAAATTATAAATATAGAAAAAGCAAAGTAATAAAAATAATTTTGATTTAAAAAAAAAAATAATAATAATAATAATAAAATAGCATTAAAAATGTTTCTTGAATAAAATAAAATGCACTAGTAGAATGTTCAATAATCATTATTTCCTAGAAAAATAGTTATAGAAAATTATTGTATTTCGATAGCAGCTGCTCCTATTTGATATTTGTATAATATTTTATTTTAGATGAAGCTAGCAGTAATTATAATTTATAAATATATGTATATTATATAAACCAATAGGAGAAAAACATTGTTTTTAATTTCAAATGGAAATTTGAAAAATACAATACAAGAATATTAAGAAAATTCTCTCAATATGAATGAATTAATTTTTTATTTTTCGAATTTTCATTCTGAATCTTCAAAAATCATAAAATATGCTCTAAGAAATTGTAAAGTTAAGAAATATGCTATAAAATCTAAAAATCACTAAATATGCAAAAATATGCACTATACATTTTTGATATGGTTTTCGTAGTGTCTTGGAACGAATTTCTAGCTCACTTAGCAATAAATCCAATCGTGCAAAAAAAACATGCAAATGCAACAACTTCCGAGTCCTATTTATTATACTATATAATTTATAATAATATGTATATTTTATTTATATTAGTTGTAATAGCTTCATTATCATATACAATTTTATTGAACTTTTTACCTTCTCTTAGATGATAATCATCATTTAAAATTGTATGATTATTATAGTCTTCAACACACATAAATATAATATATGTATATTATAAGAATTATAAATGTAAAATAATTAGTAAAAAAAAAATAAATTTTGATAAATAAAAATGTCATATTTTACTTTCATAAAACAGATGATTTATTTAATATGATACTCTTATCAAGTTTATGAAAACATCTGTGTATATATTGAATAAATGTGTAATGTGTATGTATAAATGTATAAGTTGTTTGTATTGACTAGTATAAGGCTTAGTCACCATAATAGTTTAAAATAATATGGTCATTGTCATCTTTTTACTTCTAATCAATATATTTTCGCTGGGCTCATAGAAATAATCTAAAATATGATTAACATATGGATTTTCCAAAATTAGTAAAAAATTACTTGTTGATAATGACTAAGAATAATCCACAGTATTTTTTTATTTTAATAATTGTTGACAAACTATAGATATTTATTTCATTTATTTATTTGCTAATTTAAAAGAAACCCATTTATGTCATAATTATTAGTTATTTTCTTTTTAAATCATTATATTTGAGGTTTGGATAACATTTTTTTAACATTTATAGAGGGGGAGGGGAATGCAAAGTTCATGGGCATTTTTACTATAGTAATAGTTATTATTAAACTAATTTGATAATTTTAAAGTTTATTCATACTGATTCTGTTTTATTGTATCCTACACACAGCTTATGTTTTTATATTTGTAATTTTTTTAACTTAATTTTCAATTCAATAGAATGATTGATTATAGTTTATGTGTCTATAGTTTATATAAATAACATTTTTTCAAGTAGTTTTTTAATTCTTCTAAAACAATTCTAAATTTTTATGTATATAAATTATTAAAATAGATTCTATTGATATGGCTCAAACGGAGTTTACATCACTTGAAGGCTATGTTCCTATGGCTCCTGTGGGTAAAACATCGGACTATATATCCATGGACTGTAAACAAGAATCCATAGAATCTGGAACACCTTCTACCGACACTCGCTTTTCTGATATACATTTAGATAAAGTTTGTGCATACCTAACTCCATCTGAGGATGAAGGACCCATTGAAAGACCAACTAGAGCTTATTCTGTTGGTTCTAGACCAGATGGTTTAAGAGAAAAAATAGACAGGTATTTATTGATAGTTTAAGATAAACCTGAATATTCATGAATTATTACTAATAATGATTTATTATTTATATTTAGAATAAATGCTGATCGAACGAGAACACGTGCATTTTCAGTTGGTAGTCGTGGTCGATTACCCCCTACTGGATTAGCACGTAATGGTTATCAGTCAGGTTCGACAAGTATGTCTGAACAAAGTGATAGTGGCGATCGTATGGAAATAGATTTTAGTTGTAATTCTAAATCTCGTCATCTCTATTCAGCAACTTGTCGTACTTTGGCTGTTCAAACACCAGCAGATTTGTCACCAAGGTCATCACCTAAACTTTGCCCTTCTCCTGATACATCATGTTCTCATAGATCGACTGGGCGTTCTCCTCCTAAAACTATAGTGTCTTCTATAGATATTAAAAGAACACTATCTGGAGCTGTACACGGTATATCCAGATCACCACCAGCATCATCACATGCATACTTGTCACCAACATTAGAAAGGGTTTCAGAGGTACCTAGTGTTGAGCATTTTGACAGTTACACACCAATGAAACCAGGACAAGGATTATTGCCTTGTGAAAAGTATGTTAAAATTAACTAAATATATTAATAATTTGTTAATTTAAACAGCATTAGTAAATGTTACATTTTGTAAATATCAGAATCATTAATATTATTATTATTATTTGAACCAATTAAGTATTATAATATTAGAGATAGTTTTAAATGTTCTAATTTTTTTTTTTTTTTATTATTATTAATGCTATATTATATTTATATTTGCATTATATTTTGTAGTTCAAATATGGTTGAAGAATCCAATAAAAAAAATTATGTTAATGTTTGGGAAGCTGCTAGTAGTACATTAAAGATGATTGGAGGACTAAATTGGAAAAAAAACAAGAAACGTAATTCTACTTCTGTTCAAGAACAACTTATACCCATGGCTGATGAAGGAGTTGATGAAACAGATTGTTATGCAACTTTTAGGCCAGGTGATAATACAGTATCTGTGGAACCAGATCAACAGATAGGTCAACACTCTGATGCGATGCTGGATGCTCTTCGAGATGGGTTTGCAGATCTGGTGTTTTCAGATCAACAACCTATTGTTACTTATAATTCTCAGAACCACCCTCAAACTAAGAACTCTGTTTCTTCGCTCGATGGGTAATTATATATTTAATTTATTGTATGTGTTGTAAAATAAATACTATTTTAATATAAATTCATATTTTTTATTCACTGGCAAAGAAATGTACAACTGTGACAAACAAAAAGTTATGTAATTTTTTTATGTTTAATTTTACTGTGTTATTCTTTTTATTTGAATTAAACAAAAATAGATATTTAGGTATAAGTATATATTAATATATTTAGCATCAAAAGTATTACATTTTAGGAGAATTGTATCCATGGGTAATTTTTTTAACACTAAACTTATAGAGAATTTGAAATACTTTTAAAATATGTTTAATATATCTTAATTTTTAATAAATATGTTACCAATATAACCTGTACCAACTGAAATTAATTATAATTTTGGTTTTTACGCTTTAAATTTATAAAAAAAAATAAAATAATCAATTATTTTTACTGTTATTTTAAATTAATTAGTTATCTATTTTCTATTTAAAATGCTGAGTTAAAGAAACAAGGAAGTTAAACATGGTGAAAAGCATGTAGAGATGGTTTTAGTAAAGTAAGGAGAAGGGAGAAAAATTGAAGAGTAAAAACATAAAATTTGATTATTGAATAAAAAAAAAGTAGACTTAATGAAAATTATATAGATAACAGAAAAAATAGTGTTTGGATAGATTAGCTAGGGAAATGGTTGTAGAATATAAATATGGAAAGCAATGATAATATAATTGACCCATCTTTGAAAGAGATCAACGCAAAGAGAAAATAGATAAGGTTAAAGAATTTCAAGCAGTTACTAAGTTAGGTAATTTCAAATGTTAAATATTTAATGTTGTATAACAGTTTAATAATTATCTATATAAAATTTGTATAAAATTATATTTATAATATTTTATGTTATAATTAAATATTACTAAAATAAGTATATATTTATACAGATATATATATCTGTTTGTGTATATGTGTAGTGTATGTGTGTGTGTATGTATACGCTTAAGCGTACATATTTTTTGTAGCAAAATTAAAAATCTCCTTATGACCAGACGTCAATGAATGCAAATAAGACTGAAGAACTGCTATGGGAATATACCTAGCTATTAAGTAATGTATTTAATTTTAGGCTCTGAATAGGCTTTCATTTATTTACCAATTTCTCATTTGAGTCTATTTTTAATTCATTAATCTAAATAATCATAATAGTTCATAAAAATTTAAAATGGTGTGTGCCTGTGTTTGTGTGTATGTGTTTATATGTGTATTATGTTAATTAAATTATACTAAATTAATTGAGAGTTGATAACATAATTTATGATTGATGTATGTGAAAAAAATTATTATGCTAAATACCTACATCACTTCTAATTAGAAAATGTGTGTATAAAAATGTATTGTTCAATTTATTTACTCTGCCTTCTCACTTAATAACAACGGGTTATAATTTTCATTACCATAGATTGATATAAATAAATTCAATGTATTATTGTATTGCTTAATGGATAATTATTGAATACACACCGATAAGTAAAAATAGTTGTTATAGAATATGAGAGAAATTATGATTATTGGTTATGTTCTATTGGTTTAAATAGTTTTGGTTTTCATTGTGTATTCAAGTGATATTTTTAAAATTATTCAATATTTTTATGTACTAATTATGAAATAATCAATAAAAATATTTTATAATAAACAGTAAAGATATAATAATTTCTCTCACCACCTGAATTTATTATTATACACTCAGTACTGCCACTATTATAAGAAGACAAAGTTGTCTGCCCAATCTAACTATTAAAATTAAGTTAATGTTTTTTAATTTTGTTTTATTAAAGTGTGTTTAGTTTTGATTTTAAGATGAAAATATTATTAGTTAATAACATTTTTTTGTTTACTATTTGTCTTTATTCTTTTTAGATAAATTTTGTTGTAGCAAGTATTTGTTTAAGGGAATTTCAGTTAGGCTATTGTTTTTTTTTTCAATTTTTTTTTTTGGAATGTAGGGGTTTTTGCCAGTTATAGATACACGAACAATTGACTTTTTTTTTATTATTTTGCTCACATTCCTCAACTGTTTTCTTAATATATATTTTTTGTTTACTGCTAAATTATGAAAATAGAAAATGTTATACGAACACACGCATTTATAAATAAATTTGTTAAGTTTGTCTTTTTTCTAATAACTTATCTTGTGATCACTGTATTTATTATTTCTTAGATAAAATATTATAGATGAAGCAATTGGAAACTATCAATATTGTAATATTTATTTATTTTGTAACTATACTTTTGATTATTGTTTGAAATAATGTAATAAAATTGTTTTAAAATTATTGTAATAAAATACAGTGTTGTATATTGCATTTTTAAGACTTTTTTTTCTAATTAATGCAAATGTTTTATTTTTATTCAGAAATCATGAAGAATAATTATAGAATAATTTTTACTTCATAGTTAAAATGTAAAAATGTTGCAAACATCAGTGTTCAATGTGGCTCTTAGCTAAATGTTAAAATGTTATAAATACTATATATATATCATACACTTTTAAAATGATGTATGTTAATGCATTATTATTTTTTTGTATAAAATATAAAAATATTAATTAATAAAAATTAAATACTTATAAATTATAATTAATTTATAATTTTTAATGATAAAAGTAAAACACATTTTATTCTACATATATTGGTTTTTTTTTTTTATTTTCATATTTTAAAATTCATATGTTATGTTTTTTCGTGCATATTTGGTAATTTTTAGCGTATAAATGCATATAACAGTAATTTTAAGTGCATAAACATCTGAGTCCTAATGAGAATAATAGGTATAATACAAACTAATGTGCTTAGCAATTAAGTATTTAAGTATGTTGATATAATTTATTTGTATAATTGTTTTTATATAAACAGTGATTCTTCTACAAAGTGAATCAATTTATGTGAGTTATATGATAAATGAGCTGTGCTGGATCTAAGGATTTTTAAACCTGAGGAACATATTTAAATATGCTCAAATTTTCAAAACAAAAAATTTGTAGAATATGTTAATTAACTTATATTTGTTTAAAAAATATACAATTATTATTTATAATCCATCTACCCAACAGTATCCATCAGGACCCCCCTCTTTGACTACTAAGAAGTTGCACTACTTTATAACTTATTTGGGGGCCACTGATTGTGAGTGATAAAATGAAGAATTAAATTTCAAATGAAATTACTTACATCAGTTATGACACTATCATCTATACCTTTTTATGCTTAATTTTCATAATTCCAACGTTTTCAATCATATTGTATTCGAAATTATCGTTTGGGACGCATTTATCCATCAATGAATATGATAGGCGCATGTGGGACGCAAGTAATATGCAGCCGTATAGATACACCATAATAGACAGTGCACGTTGTTCATATTATGTACAGTTTAATATTTGCCTGCCTGAGTTTTAAGTGTGTAAGTTTATTATACTTAAATATCGAGATTAGAAGTTTATAGAAAATGTAACTTTTATTTGTAGGAATTTTGGCTTGGGTAATTTTTAAATACTTCTATGTTAAATGATACATACCAAACATGTACCCGCAAAATATGATTTATAAATATACGACGTATATGTATACAGCATATATTGACATATTTCGTTCACGTGTAGCGTATATGTACAGTAATTATTAATTTTAGATAATTCGTGATGAAAAAAAAAATAGAAAAAAATATGCGAGTGATAGGACAGTGAAGAATGAAACGTCAATACGTAATATATCCTACATATTAAACATAACAGTTACAAATAATAGTACGATACAGGCAATATGACACGTCAGCACGATAGTGTAATAAAAATAATAACAATAAATAATAATATTGTATAAAGACGATAATGTGATAACCAGTGTTTGACTTGGCAAAGTTAAAGAAGGGGACTCTGTTTACTTTAAAGAAAATAGCGCCTTAAGATTTGCTAAGCATTATAATTATAATGTAATAATAGTAAGGGGATGTGAAAATTTCTGAAAATTAGTTGGGGTACTGCGTTCCCCTCAACTCAAGTACTGATATCTATGTATAGTATTACTATCCCTAAAATTATATGTAATAAGAGTCTGTGACATTTAGCGTAGTACAAAAAGTGAAATTTTGTATTTATAAAGTTAACTTTATTTACTTCGAAATTTGAAAATATTAAACAATTATTTTTTTTATTTCAAAACGTTATTAAAAAATACAACAGAAAAGACACTAAGCGTTTCACTGGTAAGAACATTTATTTATATTTTTAAATTAATCAATCAAATATCCGTGTTATTTAAAAAATTAAATGCATTATTTATTGGGACTAAAAAAACGTCCACACTACAAACCATAATCTCATTTACAAATAATGAAAAATTGGTTTTGTCCTTTTTAAAAAGAAATCACCTTTCCGAATGGTAGTCCCGTCTTCATATGTTTACGTCACTGAACAATAGCTATAAGCCAACAAATTAACTAACGTTTATTGAAAATGTTAGCCGTGGAAAAAATTTAAAATATACGGCCTCCTTTTATTTGTTATACGAACATGTCGTATGCTCGTACATATCGCGTAACCAAACGTGAATACGTGTTCAGGCTAAAAGAGTTAATACTTCTACGGCGTCACGGGCGACCGCCGAGTGGATTTTTCGTTGTTTGGTTTTCGCGTCGCGTTTGGTACACGCTGCGCGTCGCATCGCGTACAACAGGCGTAATATTATCGAAGTTCGGACGCGAGGGCAGTACGCGTTTGACGGTTGTGCCGGCTCCTGCGGTGAAAGTAGTTCAAATCTACTCGGCTGCGAATCGTCCACTCGCACGTACGTGCAGGTAAAACGTTTTCTGAATTATTATTATTTCTCGGCCGTTGAACAACTTGTATCAACGTTATTGTATTATTGTGGTGTGAATATTGCACGACCGTTTAGTTGTATGATTTTTTCCCGTACGAAGGATTCTTAACCAAAACGTTCGACGTCGTTTGGATGCACTAGACGCTTCGTAAATATTATATTATTCGTGTTTGTCGATTACATACTATGTTATATAGGTACCTACGTTTACATTATGTTTATTTTTTGTCTCGAGACGATTCGTACGTTCCGTTAGATATTTCTTAACAGTTCAATAATGTTTGTTAAGACACCTCGAGGTAATATATAACATTTACTGTACGATATCGCGATCTAAGTATTAATATGCAGTAAGTAAACGCTGTGAATAACCTCGTCGAACCGGACGCGAAGATGCTTCGTATAAAATGAATTTTCCGCGGTACGTCATATGTAGTAATTACGCTATATGCCAAAAGTGGCTTGTAAGCATTTACTACCGCGGCGGTGCCCCGGTTTTATGTACGTTTTGGTTAAATAAATTAAAATTCAGTAGGCATACCAGTATATTTATAAATATATTTGGCGATACATAATTTACGTTTTAGCGTTAAAGTAGTTTTTATGTGATACGAAGGACCCCAAACAATTTTTTCGGGGTAGGTGTGATGGTTTAAATTATACTGCCCCGCTAAGATGTAAATGTTCAAACCGTCTCTGTTATATGCATGCATACTACACAGGTGTATATTTATTTATATATAAACAGTACTGAATCTAAGACATTTTACGCCCAGGGCTAATAAAAATGCAGTGTCTTTACATAGGTAAGGAATTTACGAGGTTTTTTCATGACTTTTTATTTTTCAAACATTTAAGAGCTCCTTTATACCATCAGCACATACCAAATTGCCTCCCCCCAGATTCGGTATTGAATAGTACTATAAACCATGTGTCCCGAATTCTTTTGACAGTCTCGTCGATTTGCGAAAGGTCAAAACCTTTTATAGAATGCTATTATTAGATTATTTTACAATCGCAATGTAATTTATGTTCTATACGTACACCTGTATAGTTTTAATCACAAATATATTAAATAATGTATCCGTTTGCAGGTATTAATTAAGGGATGGGATTATATAAATATTTCTATAATGATCATAAATTCAGATGTATAATTAAAATAACCCTTATATATTATTTTTAGTTATTTATTTTTAATTATACCATGTATCGAAATAATGTGCTTAATGTACACAACGAATGTTACACGAATTACATGCACGTATTATGTGTTCAATTATGCGTACATCAGTTTACCTACACTGCTCTGATCATGAATATCAATTGTATATAATATATAATTATCAACCGCAAACATATATATTATACAGAATAAAACTTTTTTTGAATCCGTGTTATCAGTCTTCACTGATATTTTTAAAACGGAGAAAACATTATTGTTTTAAACAATAGGGTTAAAAGTTTTATTCTCCTATCGAAATAAAACAATAAAAACATCACAAGTCCATTAAGAAAAGCTATATATATATATAATTAACTTTGCTATAGACTGCCTTTGTGGGTCACATGTACAGCAGTCTGGCCCAGTAATATTGATCTCGTTTCAGCATTGCCTCTCACGGTTACCTCTATATGGATGCTCGAGCTGAATGATAAATTAAAATCATTTTAGATTATAGTTATACTTATAAGCTGTAATAGTTTCAAACAGAATATTTTCCATACTTCAACAGGTATAAAAAAATAATTAATAATAATTAATATTTATCCCTCGGAAATGGGAACACACAACCCGAAACTAATTTTTCACCAAACTTCTCACTATGGAAATTATTTATAAAAAAATACCTTGCATTTCTTCTCCCATTTTACGCACATATATACACGTTTTAAATGATAATGTCTAGTAAGATATTCTCATTAATTTTGTTTTGTCGTGCACGAGTTCTTACAATCGCATTATAAGCCACAGATAGTGTTATTTAAGATCGATAAAAAAAATCAAAAGAATGTTTGGATTTGTGATACAGTAATGTATATTCTCCATTTGATTATCGATTTATTTTTTTACATGCTATGTATTGCGGCGCATGTGTATGTGTAAATTGTTCGCTATAACTATTGTAATCTATATTAATTTCAAACAATTTTTTTTCTTAATAATATAGTATTTGAATCTTTTTTAGCAGCAAATACTATCGTGTGCTTTATCCTTATAAATGTTATGTACACGAACTGATTATACGCGTAATATAAATATTTGCGTTTGCGTGTAAACACTGAAAATACTATTGACGCGAGACTATTTTATTATATTTGTTCGGTATACATACAGTCTCACTGAAACAATTTATTTGATGTAAAGTATATAAAATATAGATACATATTGTATGGTTATATATTGTGTGATTATAAATGAGCTGTTTTAGAGTATCCGGGTTTTATTTTCTAAAAAATTATCAGAGAAAACATTTAATAATAATTAAAAACAATAAAAAAATATTCAATTTAATTATGATACCTAATGGTAGGCATACGAAAATGTATGATCCACAGTGCTTCTGGCAGCGACCCGGGACACGTTATAAAATATTTTACAAATATACACTCGGAAGAATGAACGGTTGACCTGGTTGCCTTGAACGTTGTTCCGTGAAAAATCCACCCCCTCTGTATTGTAGATTTTATAGGTCACGCAGTTTCACCCGCAGCTCATCGCCGTTCACTGCAAAATATTTCAACACATTTTTAATCATATATACATAGTATTTAGTTATTGAATTAAATATCTTTGAAAAACACAAACCTCATTGAAAATATTGTTGTGATGGATTTGTTCGCAACAAATAAGCATGTTTTATTATTTTAGTATTTTGGGCAAACATTAAATTATTTCATACCCATATTATCTTATTTATTTTTCATATCAATTCTTTACCATTATTTATTGTGGTCGAATTGAATAAAACAAATTCACTACCCTGCGCTTCATGAGTTTCTAATTTTTATTTTTGTTAAATTATAATGTTATCATTTTTATATTTTATAATTTTATAATTGAAAAAAAATTGGTTGATTGCTGTGAATTCCTCGTGATGCTAAAAACGTGACTATCCCATTATTCGTATTGCTGATAAATTTATATAATATATTTAATCCACGATTAAAGGGTTTTTTATATACATTTGTAAGTATATATAGTATTATTATATTATCATTGTGTACATTTTATTATTTGTTTATCTATTATTTTATTATTTTTATATTTACCCACAAATTAATATACTATATTAGGGTTGTCATACGTCTCGTTAAAATATAATAAAATAAAAAGTTATTGTACATTGTTATGTACAAAGTACATTGCTACTCTACACGTATATAGAAAAAAACATATATCAGACTGTTATCGAATATTTCATTAAAATTAGTATTATATTTATGGCTGAACAGGATTTAAACTTCAAAGTTGAATTTCGAATTGAAATATAAAAGAAAATAACTTTTAATATAATACGATAAATAACTACAATACCATTGGATATTTTAATGTGTTTGTGACATACGTCGATTCAGCAGGATATTTTTTCATCAAGTTAAAAAGTAGAAATTTTCTTTTTAATATTAATCATATTATGTATTGGTCGTTAATCATAGATTTTTAAATGACAAATTTAGTTCGTTGAAATCATCACCTGAAATGTTCAAATAAACATGTACAGTTGTTATGGATATGATTCTAAAAACAACGCACAATTTAACAGAGAATTTAAATATATTTATATTATGTCATGAAATAAGTTGACACAACATTTTTTGTAATTAATTGATTCTACACATCTGATAACCAATGTGTGTTTGGTACAGATGTTACGAAATATGTGTTTTAAATATTTAAATGAAAAAACCTTACTTTTATCTATTTGATTTTAAAAAATCATACATTTTCTTCGTTATTTTATACAGAAATAGAACGTTTTTATAAATATTAACAAAAATATCTACAAATCAATATAATTGGCTCATATATTTTAATAAACGTTATATCTTATGTATGGTGTGGTTAGGGTGTGGCGAATGTTCTGGACGTTATGAATTAAATGTACCAAAAACATGACCAAAACATGTATGATGGAAAAGCAATTTGGATTTTATGTTATGTAAATTAAATATGTAGCAAAATACTTAACGAATCCCTAAAGCTTAGTTTCTAAATTGGCATGAAGTGGCTACAGATTATATCTTTTAATCATGGATATTAAAATTTATTAATATAGATTGATCATACAATCTATAATATCATAGACTCCGCAGAGACTAATTCGAAGGAATAAAATTATGTAGTAACATATATTATATTTATTAGGTGCTAGTATATCGAAAGAACAAAAGGAAAAAGAATGCCTAAAATGAAAAAATGGCCTAGATACGTTTTTGATTTTTATACTGATAAGTTATAATTAGAGTATTTTGATGAAAATGCATCTTTTTTCTGATGTTCCAACACATAGGTCCATAAAAAGAAAATGTGTTTCAAGTGATACTGATTATTTTAATGTAGTTTTTATTTTGCATTTTTTTTTTTGCATTTTATAACAAATTTAACTTTATATGCATTTTAAGCGAATATGTTGCTGTTTATACGGCATTTTTTCAAGTTTTTAGAGCATTTTTCAGAATTTACTTATACATTCTAAAATATTAGAGTATTTGATCATGCGTTTCGACATTTGTTCGCTTAAAACTTGCACGTTTAGCATGTAATTTGCTAAATTGATAAACTAATAAATACGAGCATATTGATCCATGTACTAATTTTATCAAAAAAAGAATAAAATTAAAATTAAAAATAATTGGAAGAAATTTTTCTATTTACAAAATACCAATGGCTATCAAAATAGCAAATTATGAAATTAATTTAATTTAATTAAAGTGAAACAAAATATAAATATTAAAGAAATAAGTATTTATTTT